TAGTGATAATGGATGAATTTTAGAACAGTTTTATATTTAAATTAATTTTGCAATTTTGCTAACTTTGGTAAAATTGATAAGGCGTTAATTATGTCTGAAAGCCGTTGACATGTAGAGAAGTAATTTTTGTGTAAAGTATTGCAATATAACGTGGTCAGTGATTGTTTAGAAAAATGAATCACCATGCAACTCAAGAAGAATTGGAGTATTCCTTGATACGCTTTTTTACTGCTCAAGATCTTGGTAATATAGTTAATACTTGTTAAAGAAATTTAGGGGAAAAATTTTAAATAGTTTGTGGGTCCAGTGAAGACATTGAATTTTAATGGCAATTCCACCTCAACGTACTGGTTCATTTCTTATAATTCCAGTACTTTTGAGGCTGAGCTAAAAAGATTGCCATAAGTTTGAGCTAGCTTTGATTACATATCTTTAGCAAGTGATCAATAAGTACTCAGCTGTAGACTGGCAGCTGGTGGGGTGGGGGCGTGGGAAGGAGGAAGGAAGGAGATGGGATTGTTAGGTATGGTGATGAACACCTTTAACTTTAATCCCAGCACACAGGCAGTCAGCCTGGTCCACTCACTGTTGGGGGCTCCAGCCCCCTGGTCCCTTGACTTTCTTTGCCTGCCTCAGACCCTTTGCCTGCTGAAGTGAACTAAGCAAAACAACTTGTTTACCTGTGCATGCAGTTGCTCTGAGCACAGGACCCTGATAGCAGGGGAGTGGGTTCTGGTGAGACCTGCAGCTGAAAGATCCCGAGAGCTGGGGTGTGGCTATATAAGATCCCTATATAAGCTTCCCTAGAGCACAATAAAGTTGGCATTCTTGTTTCAAGGATGACCCATGTGTGTCCTTGTGTCTCTCTCTGTGTGTGTTTTTAAGTCTCCAGCCTAGTTCCTGGCTCGCATACCATCTCATAGTGCAGGCACTACAGTCTACACAGTGGGCTCCAGGACAGCTGGGCTACATAGTGAGATCCTGTAGAAAAAAGAAAAAAAGACTAGGGACCCTCTTTCAGATCCTTTCCTTCCCTCTGTTTTTTTCATCTCTCCTGGGTCTCTTGTAGCCCAAGCTCTCCTGGAACTCCAAGTAGCCGAGGCTGACCTTGAACTTTGATCTCTCCAGCTTCTGGCTTTATAGGTGGACTGCCATATCCAGGGCTACTCTTTGTGTGCAGGTCTTCTCTTGACATAACTTACTGTTTCTCTTGACTCCCAGCCTTAGAAACTTAGGGATTGCTGGACCCAGTTGAGTTTCCCAATCTGTGTTCAGTAAACTGGAGCAAGTGTAGACCATGCTGTGTTAGCTTCACAGTGCTCAGTTACCAGTTTCCTTCATTGCCTGATGTTCATTCTTTAAATCATTATGCATTTTGTCTCTGTTGTTTTAGACAGGGGGGTAAATCTGAACACTATTTGAAACTGAAGATTATAAAAACTGGAAGCAGGGGCTGGTGAGATGGCTCAGTGGGTAAAAGTGCTTATCTCACAAGTCTGATGACACCTGAGTTCAATGTCTGGTACTCGAGAGAGGGTGAGAACTGACTTTGTTGTCCCCTGACCTCCACACACTTTGTGGAATACCCACTCCCACTTGCACTTATACAAACACAATAATAATAAAAATTTAAATTTAAAGACTAGAAGTAGTTTCTTTCTATGTAAATGTGGTGATGGGAAATAACTAAAATTGGTTACCAAAAATTATTCCCAATAAATCCTTAGTGGTGCTGAGCTTAGTGAACCCCAGCTTAGTCCAGTATTCTTTAGTGGTTACTGGCTGGGACCGAGGTTCTTTGACTTACCTTTGAAGACAAAAGCAGGACTGGACTGTACGCTACAAGTTCAGGCAGTGACTACTGATCTTTATCACAGGGAACAATGTTGGGCTTGCTTAATTGTTTCTAGGTAGCCCTTGAACCCTTGAATAACTACTGTTTCAAATCATTGATTTGATGGATTGTTATTATGGTATTGGGATGATTGTTAGTATGCTTTAGTGCCGAAGTACTGCCATAGACTGAGAAGATATTCCTAAATTGTCCAAAGGATTTTGGATGGTGGCATGTTTTGGAGAAGCTAGACTAGATACTTTTAAAACTGCTCCATTTCTGCAGTGACATTGGGTTTAATATTTTGTTTTGATTGGTAAATGGATTTTAAACATTTCTATACAGAGAGTAGTCTAAAATTTTTTTGTCATGTAAAAAAATATTGCTGTCTTAACATAAATATCTTTGTTGAAAATTAATAGTCAAACAAGCGTTTTTTGATTGTCGGCTATGTGCCAGATCTGATGTATACTGGTTAGGGAAACATATGGAGTCTAAATTGAGTGAGATGATAGTGTTCCACTGTGTTCTGCAGAGACAAACCCTGTTTGTTTTTATTTGTTTTGTTTACATGCCTGTGTCCATGTACACCCACCTCCCCCACAGTACTCTTATCTTTCCATTGTGGATTCATAGTGTCAAATTTTAGGTCGTGGGGCTTGTTTGGTGAGACTATCTCCCCAGCTCTCTACCCTTGTTTTAAAGCAATAACTCAGACTTTTTAGATTTAGTCTCTCCTGTATGGTTTTATAATTATTGTCAGTGTGCAGGGGTTTTAATACTGTATTTTAAGTTAGAACTGTCCCAGTGGTGCCAGATGCCTTTAATTCCAGCACTCAGGAAGATCTCAGTTAATTCAAGGCCAGACTGACCTATATAGTGATTTCCAGGCCAGCCAGAGAAGAGATTTAGAACTGATAATTTATATGTAACTGGCCATTGGTATTTGTGGAGGACAGATGCCAGGGTTTGCCAGGTACTAAAGTCTGAGGTGTTTAATTTTTTATGCAATGTGGTAGACTATTTGCACTTAACCCAGGCATATTCTTTTGCTATTTATGACCATAAAAAAGTGTACATGTTGAGTACAAGTGCTTCCTCTTCTCAAATATATTTGCTCCCTGGTTGGTTGAACTCACTGGAAGTCTTCTGAGGATGCAGATGTTCTCTCTCAGCGGGAGAACACTTAGTTATCTAAGAACGCTAGGCAGGTTCTCCAGCTCCTCAGAAATAGTACTTGCAGGTTCTGCAGTCACAATAATATGCCAGTTTTTGATTCACCGCTATTTACGACCTGAAAACATTATTTATGCTTCATTAATCCATACTTGCTGCAGCATTGATATAACAATCTAAGTTCCTCTTTTCATCCTCCAGCTTTAGGGTAGTCTTATTCATCTACCATGAGCTAAACTACTTCATGGAACGGAATTGATTCTTTGAGTTACAGTAAAACAACAAGCACTAGCAAGAAAACCAACCTCAGAGCCTGTTTTGGGAGTGTGTTAGGTAGGGAGAGGAAGAATCTCATCAAGGTTAAGTAGCTCAGACTAGCCTCAGACTCCGGTTATTCTAAGTACTGGGATTACAGGTGTGTACCCCGTGGTCTGTGTTTTAAGGGATTACTGTACCTAAAAAATACTTATTGAATGTGTTACATACTTAATAGTAATTCCTAGCCAAAATTTTATTAGGATAACACTGAACCGGCCCTGTCTGATACCAGGTACACTGAGCAATTCTCTCTGATTGTTTTCTACTCTCTATGAGCTTGTCTGGGGTGAAAATTGAGTTAATGGACAGATTACTAAGAAAGAGATAGGGGAGAGATCATTAAGGATATTTGTAAAACACCACCATTTTTATTGCCAAGAAATTAAAGTTTGGTCAGGTGGTGGTGGTGCATGCCTTTAATCCCAGCACTCAGGAGGCAGAGGCAGGCGAATCTCTTGAGTTTGAGGCCATCCTGGTCTACAGTGTGAGCCTGGGAAGGCCAGGACTACACGGAGAAACCATGTCTAAAAAACAAAACAAAGTTTGTTGTTCAGACAGGGTCTTACTGTTTTGCAACTCTGACTGGCCTAGAGTTTACTATGTAAGCCAGATTGGCCTCGAATGATATTCACTGATATTCTTCTTTCAAATGCTGGGCTGAGATTAAAGTTGTGAGCTACCATACCTGGTATTATTAACATTTTTAAAAGATAAATCATTTTTTGATATTTTCATTCATTTCGTATAGTATGTATTGACATACCCATCCTCCTGCCTCCGTTGTCGTCTTCTCCCACTTGCACAGAACACTTTTTTCTCAACGAGCTTTTTTTTTTATGTTCTGTTTTTGATTTTTGGTATTATGCATTCAGTTTAATTAGGGTTGATTGGACAACTTACTAGTGACTATTCCACTGAAGAAATTTGCACTCCTCCCCAAGTAATGCTCAGATCCTGTGAGCCCCTTCTCTGTCCATGATGGAACGGTGATGGCCATATTTACTGCTGTGAGTTAGTGAGTGTGGCTGCTATGTGCAGAGGACAGCGTTTCACAACGTTCCCCCCATCTTTAGGTTCTTTTTTCCCCTGCCATTTACAATGATGTGAGCCTTGAAGGGAGTGATACAGATGTGGTGTTTAGGGTTGAGCTTTCAACAGTTACTTTTTCTACCAGTTATGAGTCTATTAACTGCAAAAGATGTATCTCTGTCCAAGATTGAGAGCAGCAACAGTCTATGGGTATAATAAACATAACTATTTGAAAGGTAGTTTGGACAAAACAAGAATAATAGGTTCGTTCCCCCCAGGGCCTGAGACTGAGGTTACAGGTCAAAACATGATTTTCCTCCTGTGGAATGGGCCCCAAATATGATCACAAAGTAGTTAGTTTTGTACATAACAGTCATGACCCTGTTGTACCTATGAGGATGTTTTGTCTGACAGGTTAGTATTGTAGTAAACAAAATTCATATCGGGGTAAGACTGTTGATAACTTCTCTCCAGTAGCACCTTCTGGCACTAGGAAAGTTCTCCACAGGGAGACAGTTTATAGCTGAGTTCCAACTTGATTTCTTCGTGTGTGGTGTCATCAGCAGTGGGGTTTTACCATCTAGTTGTGGTAGGCAGCCAAGATCTGTTTTTAAAGAAAGGCAACATTGTTTTCTTCTTGCAGTTATCTTCACCTGTTGTGTGGAGCTCAGCACCTATCAAGCCTCTGTAGAAATGGACAAAGAAGAAAGGAAGACTATCAACAAGGGTCAAGAAGATGAAATGGTAACTATCTTTCATAATTTCCTAAGGAGTAAAAAGATAAAATTAAAGAAAAACCAACATGGTTTGGGGTACAACCTATTGGTAGAGTGTTTGTCCATCTGATGTTCTGAGGCTCTTGGTTTGATCCCTAGTGAAACGCCTATTCATGACACATGCATATGAATTTTTGTATCCTGTGTGTGTGTGTGTGTGTGTGTGTGTGTGTGTGTGTGTGCGTGTGTGCATGTGCGCTTCTGCACACATATTTTGTTGGTTTTAGGCAAAGTCACCGTGAAGCCCTGGTTGAACTGAAATTTAACTCCATAGACCAGGCCAGCTTCAGTCTCATGAGTTCTACCTGCATGTGCCTTTCAAGTCCATGGATCAAAGGCACTTGCCTTTATACCTGGTTTGACTTGAGTTTTTTAATTTAAGTGGTGGTTTTTGTTGCTGTTAATATTAGTATTTGTTTTTGTTTTTTGAGGCAGGGTTTCTTTGTGTAGCCCTGACTGTCCTGGAACTCATGGTAGACCAGGCAGACTCAAACAGAGATCCACCTGCCTCTGCCTCCTAAGTCCTGGGGTTAAAGGAATGTGCCGCTGCCACCTGACTTGTTTATTTTTAAAATTTTAAAAATGTATGCTTTATTATTTTTGTGTGTACGTTAAGAACACACAAACGTGTTCTTACGTGTGTGCCATGGGGTGCATGTGGTAGAGGTCAGGAGTTTTCTGGGCTTTAGGGATGAGTTCAAGTCAGCAGGCATGTATGGTAAGAACATTTGTTCTGATACATCTTGCGGGCTCCCCAAGTAAAGGTTTCTATTTGTGGTTTGTAAAGTTGAAAAATCAGCTTAATTAAAGCAAAAAACTTCTAATTTTTTTTTTTGTCAGGTAAAATAGATGCCTTTAATCAAAGAATAAAGTTTTTTTTTCTTGCTGTAGCTCAAACTGGCCTCACAACCTCTCCTGGCTTAGTCTCCCAAGTGCTGAGATTATAGGCATGTATCACCACCATGTTAAGGAATAAGTTTTATTATATCTCGTTGCCATCAGATAAACAAATTTCCACTGCTTACTTGAAATGTATACTCATGAAGCCTTTGGCAGTTTGAGGTGTTTTATTTGGCAACCACTGTGGGTGGCAATTCAAGAATATTTAAAGTAATTTGCGTTAATAAAGTTGATCAGTTACAGTGGTATTGAAACAGCAAGTTACTTTAAAAAAAATCATCTAAATGTAATGTGCCTGGCATAATAATACATGCTTTGTAATCCTGAATGCAGGGGGCAGAGGCAGGAGGATCATAAGTTGGAGGCCAGCCTTGGGTGCATCACTTATCAGTGTGAGGCCCTGTGTCATGGCCAGCACTTTTAATGTCTGAGCCATCTCAACAATCTGAGATCCTTGTTTCCATTAGTCAGTGAATGTAGTGTCATAAAATACGACGGAAGTAAAAAAGGTTGGTGAAATCCTGACGAGTGTAGTTGACAGTAATGGAACACTGTTACAGTTTTCTGTAAGTCTGAAATGGTCGCAAAACAAAATCTTTAAAAAAAAAATGAAATGATAAAAGTTACAAGGAATGGAACTGAAGAGCTTGCTTCGTGGTTAAGAGCACTGGCTAGTCTTTTAGAGGACCCACGTTTGATTCTCTGTACCCACATGGAGACTTGGATCCATTTGTAATGCCACTTCTAGGGAACATCCAGAGCCCTTTCTGGTCTGAGGGCACTGCACACATATGGTTTACAGTCACATGGGCAAAACATTCATACACATAAAATATATGTGATTTTCTATGTATCTTTGAAACAAGTTTATCTGCCTCATTTTCTCATTAATCATATACACAGTTGAATTAGTAGCAAATAATTTATTAGACATAAATATAGAACATGGCCAACAAATTTTACTATTAAATTTAAAATTTTCAGTAAGTTTTACTGAAAATAACAGGTGATGTAGGAGGATCTTCTGTTTTGTGTTTTCATTGGTTAAATAAAACTACCTTGGTTTGATAGGGCAGAAAATTAGGGGGGCAGAACAGAATGCTGGGTAGAAGGCAGTGAGACAGACACCATGAAGCTCCAGCCCAAGATGGACGTAGGTTAGAATCCTCCCAGTAAGCCACAACCCCATGGTGATACACAGATTACTAGATATGGGTTAAAGCAAGATGTGAGAGTTAGCCAAGAAGAGGCTAAATATAATGGGCCAGGCAGTGTTTAAATGAATACTGATTCCGTGTAATTATTTCTGGTAAAGCTAGCCAGGTGGTGGGGACGCAGCCCACCGCTCCTTTTACTTCAAACAGGTAAATAATCAGTTGAGAAAATAAAATTTATATAAAAATACATATCTTGGAAATAAGTTCTAGTTTATCTGCCTTATCATTTGCTCATTAATCATGTGATTGCCATTTTTGTTCAGGAGATACATGGCTATAACTTATGCCACTGGAAGCTTGCCTTAGTTTCCATAGGAGTGATTTGTACTGGTGGTTTTCTCCTCCTCCTCCTCTATTGGATGCCTGAGTGGCGAGTGAAAGCCACATGCGTTAGAGCTGCAGTTAAAGACTGTGAAGTGGTGCTGCTCAGGACTACTGTAAGTCCATGCATGTATTTACTAGTAGCTGGTTGATTATTCAAGGGGTAAAATAATGTCTTTGTGTAAACTGTTCAGAATAAGTGACTGGGACATTTGAATGTTTAGTATTTCTCAGGTATGACTTTGATATGAATATTGTTGTGGTGATATGGCTAGAAACTCTTAAATAGGATGAGACTATCTTATAGCTCTTTGTGACCCAGGGAATTATTAGATGCTTAATTGTCTTTTAAGATCCTGCCCTTTAGAACTAGATAGTACTGACCACTCATTGACTAGGCCAGGTATTGACTGTATGTTATGTCTTAAACAATTTTTTTAGAACCCTATTTTATAAGAGGCTGTAATTGTTAAGTGAGTAAATTAAGACTTGAATTGTGAACTTTTGTGGAATCTATATACTTATGGTGTGCTAATAAATTTGATCATAAATTTTTCATGTTAAGTGAGTAGGAAATGATACTCTCTCAGCAAGAGACGACTAAATTTTTAAGTAATAGAATTTATGTAAAAGTACAGGCTGTTATTTAATGTGCATAACTTAATTACCTTTCTTCCTTTCTTCTAAGGATGAATTTAGAATGTGGTTTTGTGCAAAAATTCGCTTTCTTCCTATGGAAAATCAACCAAATTTTAATGCAAAATCTGTAGTTAATAAGGTTTCAAATGGCCATGCTGTTCATTTAACTGAGAATCTGACTGAAGAAAATAGATGCGAGATGAATAAATATTCACAGACTCAGTCCCAACAGGTACTGTGATGGAGTATTAAAGCTTTTTTGAAAAACCATAATGTTCTTTCTACATTATCAAAGGTAGATCATAATTTTGCATTTGCAAAATTGTACGTGAGCTAAAATTACATTCATTGTAAAATATCTGCCATTAAATAAAACTAAGTTTAGTAGAAAAAATGACATGTTATGAGAAGTGATGATAAACCTTGTGATGTAATATTTATGTGTGTTCTGCAGATGCGTTATTTCACCCACCATAGCATAAGATATTTCTGGAATGATACCATTCACAATTTTGATTTCTTAAAGTAAGTATTTTTCTTTTGCTTAGAATATATTATGAACATCTTGAAAATGCATTTTAAAAAAGCTATATTCTAATGTTACATAAATTCAGAGAGACTTATTCCATTACCTTTATTCATTTACTAAAGTGAGTTTCACCTGCAACTTGTACCTTTGAAAAATTTACATAAAATTTAGAAAGCTCGTGCTTGCCTATGATGCTAGCTGTCAGGGAGGCTGGGGGGCATGAAGAATTTTAGTATTCCTCACAGCTTAGGTTTTCTACTTGGTTTTTCTTGTTATTTTATTTTACTTTGCTTTGGGTGTGCACTGGGCTTAGGATTGAATCTGGCACTAACACATGCTAATAAGCAGTGAGTGACTGTAGCTCTGAGCCCCACCCCCCAACCCTAGAGCTTTAGCTTCCTTCCTATGTTGTTTGTTGCATTCATTTGTAATCAGAATCATGTAATACATAGTTAGAAAGCTTTACTGTCGTGATGAGAAAGAGCACTTTCAACTGTGTTACCTTTGATAGGACAAATTGCAATAATCCCTTATTTTGTTTTGTGTGTGTAAAACAAGGATCAAGAATATTTAAGATAATACTTGAAAATTTTACCTGAAATACTAAAGAATTAGAATGTTCTGTAATGGGCCTGATGGTTTTCTCATGCCTGGTTCTAAAGTTGAAGAGCCATTGCTTTAAGGAAAAATGCTGATGTCAAATGCTAATGTCCTGCAGTCTTGTTAAACACGGAACTGCTAGTCTGTCTTTGAACTGCATTCTGGAGAAGTCATCAGCTCTGATGGGAAGAATGTCTAATAATTGTTTGGTCTCTGCCAGCCACTGAAATTTGTAAAATTTAAACTTACCCTAATGATATCAACAAATTGTAGAGCTTAGCTTCCCTGTATGTAAAATATAGAGAATAAGGAGATTAATGTGTTTAATTCTCTTGCTTTAGAAATGTTTGGCTGGTATCAGTTAAAATAAGTAAAATTATGTTTTTTGGGGGGAAACCATCCTAGTTAGGATTGCTCTAGGTCTTAGACATTTATGGTCGTAAATTCTATATTTGAAATGAGGTATGTAGTAGTATTTCAGGAAAGTATTTATATTGGTGCATTGTGGAAGAAAATGAATGGGATTTCTTAATTTAAAACTAAAAATATAAAGGAGAAACAGGATAAAAACCAAGTCTTGTTTAGAATTCTCACTAGTTATACTTTATCTGGAGTTTTATTAGTTTTATTGCTGACTCATAACCTTTGGAAACTGTTAAAGGATAATGCTACTATATGTACATTTGCTTACATAGTATTATTTAGAGCCATGACATACAGTGGATAACATTGCTGTGTTTGAGACTTATACCAATTCATTGTTTTATTTAAGACTTTGAGATTTTAAAATTCTCTTGATTTCTAATTTTGTTGTTAAGAATTTCTAAGAAGTTTGTAAGGAAGTTACAGTTTTAAAATCACACATATAGCAAAATGAGGCATTAATATGAATATTTTAAACTTTGTTTAAAGTAAAAACTTTGGATTTATTTAGGGGACTGGATGAAGGTGTTTCTTGTACATCAATTTATGAAAAGCATAGTGCAGGACTGACAAAGGGGATGCATGCCTACAGGTAACTTTATCCAACTAAAGTAGATCTGTTCTCAAAATTCCTAAATTTAGAAGTGTGTATATAGCCAACTCTCTACCATATAATGTAGGTACTTAAGCAAAACATGCTGTTAGTTGTGCCCTTACTGATATTTTGAGCAAAACTCCTTTAGTTTAAGAATTATAAGAATATTAAGCTAAAGTTAACTATCCTAAAGTTTTATTAATTCATTAATTCTAAGATGCAAAACTCATATTTTCTTGTCTCTGAAATGGAATGTTATTTAGTGTGTGGAGTGCCATCCTCAGTCACACATATTATAATGGAGTGTTCTGTAAATTAGCAGCACCTTGGATTTTCTGATATGGGAAGTGTAAGCATGAGCTTACATTTTTACATTTCCCACCAGTAAACTATAAACTGGAGCCATGCTTTTTTGTGTGTTATTGGTTAAAGTATAAAAATACCAGTGTATTGCATATTTTAGAGACAAATGTAGTTTTTTGATTGAATTGGAACTTTTTTACTATTGTAATGTGTTTTTCAATGTTTGAACAAAAAAGTCATTCAGACTTAACACTTTATAAACGGCTATAATTATAATAGCATACAAATCATTACAGGAGATTAAAATGAAGAACCTGTGGGTTTTAGAGGGACGAGGGATTGGGTAGAATTTACAGCCTTACTCAAGCTACACCCTACACCGAGGCACGCACCCTCCCCCACCTCCCCGGGTTTTTTGGGGGGGGCTTTTATTTATTTATTTTTTAAAAAATAATGACAAGGCCTCATAGTTAAGCCTGACTTCACTCAGTATGTAGTCAAGGATGGATGTCTTTGAACTCCTGGTCTTACATTTGCTTCCCAAGTGCTGGACTTCCAGGGAAGTTCCACACCATGCTTGGTTTATGCAGACCTTGGGAATTGAAGCCAGGGTCTTATGCATGAATGGAGCCACTCTGATAGTGGAGCAGCAGTATCCCCTGTCACTAAGCAACTTTAAGAAAGTGTTTTTCTGAAGGATTTCAAGTGTGCAGTGTTTTGAAATGAACTTTGTTAGTAAAATATTCTCCCTAGAGAAAAAAAGTAGAGTAAGATTCTTAAAAGTATTTAATTTCTTATAATAGTCGTAATTTAAATCTCAATACAGTTCGCTCTGTTTGGGGCTAGATAAGATGTCTCAGTGGTTAAGAGCACTTGCTCTCCCAGAGGACATGGATTTAGCTCCTAGCACCCACCTTGCTGCTTACAGCTAATTGTCTGTAATTACAGTTCCAGAGGATCCAATGTGCTGGATTGGATCCAATGTATTAGAGGATCCAATACCCTGGCCTCCGTGGGTATTGCATGCATGTGATGCATAGACACGGGTAGGCAAAATACCCATGAACATGAAATAAAAATGAAAATCTCCAAAGAAAAAATGTCAAGAAGAGAACTTTAGTTAGTTGTGGTGGCTTACACCTATAGTCTCAGGATTTGGGAAGCTGAGACAGAAGGATTTCCATGAGTTTGAAGGCAGCCTGATCTATATAGTAATTTTCAGGACAGCTTAGACATAGCAAAATGAGTCTTTTGCTTACATGATTATTGACTAATGAGAAAGGTACTTGTCATAGTAAAAATGAGACTCAAAATGATGTAAACTGATAAAAGTTTGGTTACCATTATTGACTGCTTTGATTTAAATAGCATAGATAGCTTTTTAAATTTTGTTTTGTTTATTTTTTTTTTCAAGACAGGGTTGTTCTGTGTGTTCCTTACTGTCTTGGAACTCGCTCTGTAGACCAGGCTGGCCTCAAACTCACAGAGATCTGTGTGCCTCTGCTTCCCAAGTGCTGAGATTAAAGGTATGTGCCAGAACTACACAGGAGTTATTTTTTATTTTTTAAAGTAGAGAACTTTAGTCATGGAACATAAGATTTTAAAAGCAAAACTCTAAGAACAGTTGGCTTTACTTATATCTAACAAATTCTTTTCCTAAATCATATTACTAATACAGTTACTGTATTTTTCTGTCATAGAAAGTTGATTTATGGAGTAAATGAAATTGCTGTGAAAGTGCCTTCTGTTTTTAAGCTTCTAATTAAAGAGGTAAGACTCTGTGTAACTAATAGTATGTGTTCCTGTCAACTGGAGAGAGTCCCGTGTAAGGACCCAGTCTTGGTTTTCTGCTTAACTTTGCTTCATATTTTACTTGGAAAGTTAAGATGGAAAAAATTGTTGTCTGGTAGATAAATATTTATAATGTATATAATTTTGTGTTTTTATTATAGATTTCTTTTTGTGTGTGTGTTTCTATCACAAATCTTGTCTTACAGGTGTATATATAGCCTCTCATTCCCTTTGGTCTTTTTCTCATTTCATGTGGTGTAGTATTGGAAATGAAGGGAACTGTTCTTGCAGTGAGGGTTCATTTATAACTGCCTTAGCTGTGTGAATAAAGGATTATGACTATGTAAAAGAAGTTAGTAACTGTCTACCCCAGGAAGACTTGCCAGTCTTTTGTTCTGGTTTTTGGCTGTAGATGGGTATTTTACTAGAAATATGAGTAGCCATTTGATGCTGCTTGCAAAAATAGTTTAGTGTACTGACTAAAAAAAAATATAGGATCAAAAAGAAAAAAGTTCCTGATGGTGGTGGTGCACACCATTAATCCCAGCACTCGGGAGACAGGCAGGTGGATCTTACTACTATTAGTATCTTATTAGTAGCTGTCTTTGATTTTTTTTTTAAAGAAAACATTTCTACCTGCAACTTGTTTATGGATAAAGTTGGAATAATTTCTTAATATTTAATTTAGGTTTGAAGTAAAATGGTACTACATACATGAACGTGCTTAGAAAGGTACAAAGCAGCAGTTATAAAAGACATTGGGAGGGAATTAAGGGAGATGAAATACCATTTTATAAAGTTCACCACCAGGGCTTTCTAGTCTTACTTGTATTTGAGAATAAATACTGAGACGTTTTCTTTGAGATAACAAAGCAATTTCCCCATTATCACATATTTATCTTCTCTTTGTATGTCAGTGAACTTTTGAAATATAAGTAAATTTCTCTTTGGAGTTCATTAAAAGCAAACATTTGTTCTGTTTGATTAAAAGTTTTGTTTTAGCTCAGAGCACAAAAGTTATTACAAATAAATTAGCTTTAATCAAAAATATAATGCAGAATAGCTAAATTCATACAGGTTAACTTTTTCTAGTTGAATCTGTATTTCCCTTGGTGTGAATCTAAATGAATGCAAATAATTTAAGCTTATTGACTCAATTTTTAGTATTTAGTGGGAAGCAAGAATACAGAGCCCATTCTATAAGTATCTGGTTGTCTATATCTCTAGTGAAATGGTGAAGAGGTAAAGAATCTACATGTTCATACATAACGTTATCCCATTTATGGCTGTTGATGTATCCTTTTTGTTGTTTTTAGGTTCTCAACCCATTTTACATTTTCCAGCTGTTCAGTGTTATCCTGTGGAGCATTGATGAATACTATTACTATGCTCTAGCCATTGTGATCATGTCCATAGTATCTATTATAAGCTCACTATATTCCATTAGGAAGGTAAGTAAGAATTTCTTACATCTTTCAGGAATATATTTGCATTCTATAGTAACTTGTAAGTTTTGTAGAATGCATAGTACTTGGTATAGAGTACATTTAATGTAGTATTTCCATAAGTATACATACAAACTTTCTTTATTTTTGTTTGTTCATTTAGACAAGGTAGCTGAGAGGTCCAGGGAGCCAGATCAAAGCCATGACAGGTTTCTAATAGTCCCTGGCAGGGACGTGTTTGATTTACTGAAGGTGACTGGAGCTGAGCAAGCAGTTCTCCGGAAACTACAGCTCAGGGTCAATCAGTTAGCAGGTGCTCCACAGCCTTCTTTTGGCTCAGCACATGACCATAGCTTCTTTATAGCTAAAGATAGCTTTCTCTGCCCTGCTGCTAAAATGTCCTTAACCACTAGAGCCATCCACAGTACAATCAGCACCCCCAGATTAATTTCTCCTCCCTGGAATTCCCCTAATCTGTCATAAAAAGGGGCCTGCGAACCTCTTGGGTGGTCGCTATGTGCTAACCCCAAAATGTTGGCAGTTTTTTATTTATAAACACTCTTGCTTATTGCATACGTAACTGTTGGTCTTTTATGGGCTTCTTGCAGACCCTATCAGTAACTTGGGTAGCCTTTAACTAACCAGTCTTCCTACTTTATTCTTGGTCTTGGAGTGTGTGCGTGTGCGTGTGCGTGTGCGCGCTAACCAGTCTTCCTACTTTACACTTGGTCTTGGACTGTGTGTGTGTGTGTGTGTGTGTGTGTGTATGTGTACACCGGTGTTTTGTCTGAATTTATGTCAGTGCACCTCAAGTGTCTGGTGCCTGCAAAGGCCCGAGGAGATTATTGGATCTTCTGGGTGTAGAGTTTCAGATGATTGTGAGCCGCTGTGTGGGTGGTGTGAATCAACCTGGGTCTTCTATAATCGTTGGTTGAACTCTTAATCATTGGGCCATCTCTTCAACCCTGGCTTTTTTCTTGTTTTTTTTTTTTTTTCCTTTGGGTCAGAGGGGAGAATCAAACACTTTATTGTTTTTGTGGTACTAGAATTTGAATTTAAGAGTGCAAATGCTCACAAAGATACACTCTTAGATGTTTTTAGAATCATATTACCACATGATCACTCAGAAGCTATAGGCGTCTGTATTTGCTTATTAAAGATTGAAGTGTTGACAAGATAATTCGTATGTTCTCAAGACTGCCTCCTTTAAAGTGTATCTTTGAGCTAAAACAGTAATTCTTAAATTTCTAACTTTTGGGTATGTGCATGGATATGTTCACATGTAAGTGAGTGCAGTTGTGCCTGGCAGCCTCGTTTTGATCCTGGATATCTTCTTGGATTGTTTTCTGCCCTACTCACTGAGGCATGGTTTCAGTTGAACCCAGAGCTCACTTACTGAACTAGTTCAGCTAGCCAAATTGCTCTAGGAATCCTCTGTCTTTGCCTTTTGAGTGCTGAAATTATAGGCAGCTGCCATGCACATTTAGCTTTCATATGGGTGCTCAGAACTGAACTTGAGCAGTGTCTTAGTTAGGGTTTCTATTGCTGTGAGACACACCATGACCATGGCAACTCTTAGAAAGGAAAACATTTAGTTGGGGCTGACTTACAATTAAGCAGTTTAGTTCATTGTCATGGCAGGAAGCACGGTGGCATGCAGACAGACATTGTAATAGAGAGGTAGCTGAGAGTTCTACATCTGGATCAACCGGCAACAGAACAGAGTGACACTGGGCATGGCTTGAGCATTTGAAACCCCAAAGGTCACACCTCCCAATAGTGCCACTGCGTGGACCTATGGGGGCCATTTCATTCAAGCCACCAGAAGTAGCCAGCAAGTAGCCATCGAGTCATCTCCCTATCCCATGAGTTTTGACCTTTTATATAGGCAGAACAGTAAAAAAATGATCACAGTAATTGAGCTTTCATTTATTTTTTCAAGTATCTCGAGGAAGAGATTTGTTTGTGTATTGTTTATTTCTTTTTTCTTTCAGCAATATGTTATGTTACATGATATGGTGGCAACTCACAGTACCGTGAGAGTTTCAGTTTGTAGAGTAAATGAAGGTAAGTACATCAGAGGAGGGTTGAAAGAGTAAATGAACACACAACATGTAATTAAATACTTGTGTAAAGTAAGATCATTTTATGTGTTTATACATATTTTTAAATTGCATTTAATTGTATGTATGTACAGTGGCACATGTATGGAGATCAGAAGACAACCCCATGACACTCCCTGCTCTTTTTCCCACGTGGGTCCTGGGATTGAACTAAGGTCATTAGGGTTGGTGGCAAGCACCTTTACTCTTTTCCACTTCACCAGCCCTATTATTTCTTCTTCTCCCTTCCTCTCTTCCTTCTTCAGTTTGAAAATACCCTTTTAGATTCCCAGATTTGTGGCCAGCTTGTTCCTTTCTATAACATTGTACAGTGTAGAGGCTCTTTGCTAAGTTCTAGGACATGATAAACAACAAAGTGTGGTGAGTACTTTGAAAGCAGGGACTTCTTAACACTAGAGTGCTGTGCTTTTAGGTACTCAGGGTGGGTTTTTTAAAGTCGAAGAAAGCCAAATTAAAGACAGGTGAGGACCAAGCCATGGTGGCACACATGCCTTTAATCTTAGCACTCGGGAGGCAGAGGCAGGTGGATCGCTGTGAGTTTGAGGCCAGCCTGGTCTACAAGAGCTAGTTCCAAAGCTACAAAGCTACAGAGAAACCCTGTCTCAAAAAACGAGGAAAAGAAAATTGGTGAGGAGTCTAAGATGAGGACGAGAGAATAATAAGCACCCAGGGGCCTGAAGTTAAGACTGTATTCTTCTAAGACCTGGAATTCAACAAGGTATGTGCTGAAAGTAGGTGACGGGTTCTAAGGGATTTGGTTGCCTCCAAAGGCTGAAAAGCTAACAAATGGCTTTAAGCAGATCTCATCCTGTTTGTCTTTCAGAGAAAACAGTAATTCTGGCTCCCATGTTTATAGTGGGAACAATACTAAAGGCATCACCCAGATAAAGAACAGGGTTGTAGAGTTAATAAGAAAGGATATGGGTTTGAAATGTGGGCCTTGAACAAGATTGGAAGTGAAGTCTCAAGAGATGTATGCAGTTGGGACATACATCCCATGTTACATGGGACAAAGTAAAAAGGAAACAATGATTGTGAGGAGAATGATTGGGATATATAAGCTGTCTGAGATGTTGAAGTGAAGGATAACATAACACCATGGTCTTTGGAGGCAGTAGCCACTTTCATTTCTCCAGAATTCAAAATCAGTCTTTTTTTATATTCTCCACATTCCTCTCCCCCCAGGCTCCTCCCCCTTTCTTTTGAGTTAGGATTGTTAAATTAGCAACCCTGGCCTCCTTAGCTGGGTTTACAGGTATGAGCTCTACCTTCAGACCCATTTTCTTGACTGTCTCTAAGTGATGCAGTTTTCGTACCTTGCTTCCTTCCTGGTCACTTCTGTCTCTAGAATCTCCCACACTTGCTGCCTTCTTATTTTTGGTAGGATTATTTTAAAATGGTTCGTGTGTGTGTGTGTGTGTTGTTTCTACATTATAGCAGCACAGGTTGGCCTAGACCTTGTTATGTACCGGGGATGACCTTGAAATTCTGCTCTTGCTGCTACAAGCTCTAGAACTGCAAGGCACCACAATAGTTTTGGAACTTTTTTAGTGAAAAGCCACCACACCCAGCTTGAAGGTTTTTAAGTCCACATGTACAGAGACCTGAGAGAGAGAGAGGGTCTTCTTGCCAGGCTGGCTTCAAATTCATGATCTTCTTGCTTTTCAAGCAAGCCTTCCAAATGCTGGGATTTCAATGCCTGATTTAAATTCTCAAGAAAATAATGAATTAAGTGTTACTATATATTTAATAATTCTTCTTGATATATTTTTTAATAATTTAAGAGACTAAAACATTGAAGAGGTGAGACATAAATAATTGCATTAAGAAAAGAATATCTTTGAAAAGAAAATATGGTAAATTTTTCATGTTTTCTTTAGTTGCTGTGTAATACTAGAAATTTGAATTCATTTTGCCTGTTTCAGTCAAATTTCCTGTGTGGAATTATGCTTGTATTTTAAGATGGCAGATTGACCGGAGCATGAAGGTGTGATGAGGATGTTCACCTGTGCTTAGTCAGCTTGTTGTTAAGAGACAAGCCAAATGACATATTTTGATACCTGGTGCCTATGTAGGCCAGGAGAGGCTGTCAGCGTCCCTAGAACTGGAGTTACAGATTGTTGTAATCCTTCATGTGGGTGCTGGGAATTGCATTAAGATGTCTTGGCAAAAGAGCCAATGTTTTTAACCCCCGAGTCATCTCTCCAGTCTTGATGCATTGCTAATGTAATCCTGTTTGTTGAGACTTCATGTGCTATACTTTAGGTATTAACACACGATATCAGTAGCTTACTGAGAGCAGGAGACTTTTGGATAGGTCGTTTATTTGCTGTAATTTTATTCCAAATTAAAGAATAATTTCTTCTTATTTTTCAAATTCAGAAATAGAAGAAATCTTTTCTACAGACCTTGTGCCTGGAGATGTCATGATCATTCCATTAAATGGGACAGTCATGCCTTGTGATGCAGTACTTATTAATGGTACTTGCATTGTAAATGAAAGCATGCTAACAGGTAAATGGGGTCACCAATATCTTGCTTATTGTTTATGATAGTATTAATGTCACGTAGTTTAAACTTCTTAAATCATACCATTTGTATCATTTACTCATAAATGTATTTGATAGTGATTGCGTGTGCAAGAAGACTACATTCTATGCTAAAAAACTAATACTAAATCACTCTTCTGGTAGTAACCATATTTCTGGACCTGTTTCTTGCTGCTCTTTGGACATAGAGAAATGTATGATAGTAAGGGAAGAGGAGAGAAGTCCTTTTCTATAGAGATTGCAGTGAATTTGCTTCTGTATTCATTATTCATTTTTTTTTATGTTCTTTAACTGGGAAGAAGTAGACTTTATAACTACTGGAAATTCACAATTTAGAAATAGATCTTTCTGCCTTTTAAATTGTGAATTTTTAAATTATAATCTGGCTAGAAATTGTTTCCTGTGTATTTTGAGGCTTAAAACACACAATCTCAAATAAATTTCTACACTCTGGCTGTTTTTGAAGAAATGCTTTTCAAAATTAAAGGACAAAAAGAACCAAATATTACCTATTTTTCTTTCTTTTGCCCAAATTTTGTTATAGTGGTATGTTTCTGTCTATATTTGTGTCTTTCTGTCTAGTGATTAAAGATGTCATGACATCACTGGTTAGTAAAAGTAACAGTACTTTTTAGCTCTGTTCTTAAGGATGTGTTCTTTGGTCTTTGAAATTTTTTGAAGGTCATTAGGCATTTATGAATCACGAATTAATGAAACAACTTGGTATTTGTCAATGAACCAGCTGATGGACAAAAAGCTCATGGGTTACACCATGTCCTCCATATATAGGGCAGTTATTAAGTATTACAAACAGTACTGCTAACACAAACTATTTCACTGTTTTTTCAGTATGCATTTGACACTGATTTTTAAGCTTTCCTTTAACATTTGGTTTTCTTAACAGGGGAAAGTGTTCCAGTGACAAAGACTAACTTGCCAAATCCTTCAGTGGATGTAAAAGGAACGGGGGAGGAGTTGTACAGTCCAGAGACACACAAGAGACACACTCTGTTTTGTGGGACAACTGTTATTCAGACCCGTTTTTACACTGGAGAACTTGTGAAAGCCATAGTAGTTAGAACAGGTAGATAAATCTCTTTTGAATTTGAAACCTACTAGATGTTTATAAAGGAATTGTGATTGGGAAGTTAATTCTCATGAAAAGATAAGTAATTTTTCTTTTTAATTTTTGAAAGGATTTAGTACTTCCAAAGGACAGCTTGTTCGTTCTATACTGTATCCCAAGCCAACTGATTTTAAACTCTATAGAGATGCCTACTTGTTTCTGCTGTGTCTTGTGGTGGTGGCTGGCATTGGGTTTATCTACACAATCATCAATAGCATTTTAAATAAGGTATGTAACTTCATAGGTTTGGTCCTTAATTATTTCATGTATGACTGAAGATGAATTTTAACTTTATCTCTGAAGGAAACTATGACACTAGTATCTATTATATTAGAAGGCAAAATTATTGGGTGACCTAGAGGCAGGAAAATTAGAAGTTTTGGGCTGTATACAAGATCCTGTCTCAACAAGAAAACTCCACAAGTAGAAATCATTTTCATCATCATAGCATGTTATTCTTCAGAATATCTGGCACCAAACACCCCTTCATATTTGTGGGATAAGTTAATGTTTACAGTTGTAACTTGTCTTGCTTATTTAGCTATGTTCTGTTCCTAACTCCACCTCTTGAGTGCTGGGATTACAGGTACTCACCACCATTCTTAGCAAAATTATTTCTAAACACTCAGTAAAAGAGGCATATGTAAGGGCCCATGCCTGATTTCTTTTTTTTTTGTTTCTGGCTTCTGTGGAGACAGTCTAGGTTCTTATAGGATAGACAGTCTTAGATAAAGTTTGTTCAACTTGATTTGAAGGCAGTCATGTGATGAATGAGATAAGTATTTATTTCTAAGAGTAAATATTTTTCTTCTTTAGCTGCTATTCTGTTTGTTCATTGAGTCTTCTATTTACAATTACCTATAAGCATTGGGGTTTGACCCTATGCCCTCAAACATGCTAAACTACTGTTTATATGCCTCAACCATTTTATAAGATCTTTGAATGAATAATAGATAGGAGTATATAGTTATGAATACAAAAATAGTGTGTTTTTTCATTAGATTAATAAATTGAGTATTGACATTTATTTTTATGTTAATTGTAGAAAGAAATTCAGGAAATAATTATTAAGTCTCTTGATATCATTACAATTACTGTGCCACCTGCACTACCTGCTGCAATGACTGCTGGAATTGTTTATGCTCAGAGAAGACTGAAAAAAGTTGGGATTTTCTGTATCAGTCCCCAAAGGATAAATATCTGTGGACAGCTGAATCTTGTTTGCTTTGATAAGGTTGGTTTGACTTCATAATCATTACTGTAACTTTAAATGTTTATATTTGTATTTCCTTTATGAATTAATTTGCCCTTATTTACTATGTAGGTGCTGGGAAATTGAGCCCAGGTCTTTCAGAATCTTTTAGTAATAAAATTGAAGATGTATGGCTGCTGGAGAGATAGCTGGGTGCTCAGTATTTATGAGCACTGACTGTTTCCAAAGGGTGAGAGAGCCCGAGTTTGGTTCGCATCACCCATGTGGCACCTCAGAACCTTCTGTGACTGTTGTTCCAGGGAAATGGTTCCCTTTCCTGACCTCCTTGGGCACCTGGCATGCACAGGATAAACAAGTGTATATGCAAGCAAGACACCCATACACAAAACCAAATTAATTTTAAAAATTAAAAACTTAATGAAAATGAGTAAAGATTATATGGTCCTTCGTATTTTTAGTTAATGTAATAGAATAGCTCCTGTGGATATGTACTTACTGTGTGTGTGTAAAGATTATTTATTATGTATACAGTGTTTATCTACATGTATGTACCAGATCTCACTATAGACAGTTGTGAGCCACCATATGGTTGCTGGGAATTGAACTCCAGAACCTCTGAAAGAGCAGTCAGCAACCAGTGCTTTTAACCTCTGAGCCGTATCTCCAGCCCTCAATATTTTTTAATTGCTCATAAATATGTATTTTAATATTCTATGATTTTTATTGATTCCCCATGCACCACCACTGCCCCACAAAACCGGTCATTTTCTTACCTGGGTTTAACTATTAGCTTCTTCCTCTTGGTGTTTAAATTTTCTTCTTGGCTCTTTGTTCTGTAATCTGTGCTATTCTACCATTACATCAACAGATACTGCTTGTTGGTGAATAAGTAGGTTGACGGGTGCATTTTGTTTATATTGTTGTCACATGAGTAAATTGAATACAGTTCACAAGATAGTGCCTTGTACTTGAAGGAGGGGCTGTGCAAGTACTGTTGTGCAGGTTCCCTTACAGTATACGCGCTCCCACCTCTCTTTTCCTTACTTTCAGACTCTGCTTCTCCCTTGTGTTTATGTAGCATAGTTGTTAATTGATTTGAGTCCCAGCATTTTAGTTTTTGTAAGCAATTGTCCTTACTTTGTGCATGTGTACTTTGTTTTATTTTAGACTGGAACTCTTACCGAAGATGGTTTAGATCTCTGGGGAATTCAGCGAGTGGAAAATACCCGGTAAATATTAGCTAGATTTTCTAGATTATTAGTTTAGTTAATTTTTTTTAACATTTTAGCATATTCAGCTTTCTAACATAATAGACAACTGTGTACCTATTCACAGAATAAATTTATTCATGTGTATGTTTCTGTTATCTTTTAGAAATTATTTATGGTGTGTGTGTGTGTGTGTGTGTCTGTGTCTGTGTCTGTCTGTCTGTAGTCAGCACAACTTGTAGGTGTGGATTCCTTTCCTTCAGCATATGGGGCTGGAACTCAGACTCGGGTTGTCAGACATGGTTTCTCATCAAGTTTGTGGGGCAAGCAAGCACCTTCATCCGAAGCTGAACTGTCTTTAACTAATTGCTTTTCAGTTAGCATACAAAGTAATGGATTTCATTATGGCTTTTTCATTCATTTGACTTTGGCTTTGCTCTAGTTTACCCCTCTGCCCCATCTCACCCTCTGCTTTCATGTCGCATATATGACTTTGCCCTCTTTTTTCCCATCTTAAGAGCTTTTCCTCTCCTCATGTTCCTCATTCTAGTTTTCATATCTTAAGCAAACATGCTATATACACGCACACACAACAGTTTTCAATTATAATACCTCAGATGAGAGAAAGTGTGATTTGTCTTGCTGAACTTGGCTTATTTCACTTAACAAAATGATTTTCTGTTTTAAATGTGCCAATGTAAGCTTTCTTTGACTAAATACAATTTTATTCTATATATGTATAACATTTTTTTATTCATTCATGTGTTGATGGATAGGTGGATGGTTCCATTTCTTAACTGTTGTGTCCCTGGTTGTCTTGGAACTCACTGTGGAACTCACTAGACTGACCTTTAACTCACTGAGATCTTCCTGCCTCTGATGGAATTAAAGACATGTGCCATCACGCCTATTCTGGAAGTTGACTATTTCTGTATGTTGGCTATCCATAGGGTCTCATATATATCTACACACACACACACCCAAGAGCGTTACAGCTGGGCTTTCTGGTAATTCTACTTTTTAAGTTTTTTGATGAACCTTACTGATTTTTATAGTGGCTGAACAAGTTTCTATTCTCACCAATAAAGAGTATATATATAAGAGTTTTTCTCTCCTCATGATCTTCACCATCATTGGCTGGTTGTTTTGTTGGTGGTAGCTGTTCTGAGTGAGTATCAGTTGGAATTGCAACTGTAGTTTTGATTTTCATTTCCTTGGTGACTGAAGATGTTCAAGACTTTTTCAAGTGTTTATTGGCCAAATAGCCAATATTTCTTCTGAGAACTGTCTATTTCATTAGCAGTTTTATTGATAAAGTGATTTGATATTTTGGTCTTGCATTGTCATAGTTATTGCTCTGAGGCAATTGGCATAAGTTTTTTCCTGTTCTCTGTTTCCTTACTCTGGTTAATGGTTTTCTTGCTGCGCAGAAGCTTCTTAATTTTATGAAATCAAATTTGCCAGTTCTTGTGCTGTTGGAACCCTGAAACTTCTGCCCATGCCTCTGTCTTGAAGTGGTTTGCTTATGTTTTCCGCCAGCAGTTTTACAATGTCAGGTCTCACATTCAGTAATCTGTGTCCATTCTGATTGACGTTTGTGGAGGTGTGGGATGAAGCTGTAGTTTTACTCTTCTACATGTGGACATTTTCCAGTGTGTGCTTTAGATCCTTTTGTTGAGAATTAGTAGCTTTAGGCTGTAGGGGTTTTTTACTTCTGGGTACTTGGTTCTGTTCCAGTTAGTGAACCTCTCGGTTTCTTACTGGTCCCGAGCTGCTTTTGTTATTGTGGCTTTATTAGAATTTGAGGGCCAGATATTCTTTATACTAAAGATTACTTTGGCTATGTTAGGGCTTGGTGCTTCCATATGAATTTTAAGATTTCTTTCTATCCAGCTATTCACTGGAATTTTGATGGGGGACTGCATTGAAATATATAAATTGTTAAATTTGGTGTGGTGGCACACACCTTTAATCCCAGCCCTCAGGAGGCAGAGACAAATGAATCTCTGAGTTTGAGGCCAGCGTGGTCTACAGAGTGAGTTCCAGGACAGTCAGAGCTAGCTCCATCATGAGACTCTGTCTCAGAAAACAGAAAAGAATCATATAGATAGCTCTTGTAATTCAGCTGTTTTAACACTACTCTGTCAGTCTGTGGACATGAGCGAAAGTTCTGTTATCTTGTCTTCAAGTTTCTGAAAGTTTGCATTGCAAGGATCTTTTACTGCTTTTTTTGGGGTTTCGTTTATGGTTAGGTATCCAATTTTTTTTTTTCATAGCTGTTGTGAACAAGATGTGTGGTTTGTTTTTGGGACAGTGTATGTTTTTGTGGTAATTTTTTTTCTACTTTATTTTGTATATGCCCACCTCCCCATTTTTTTTCTACTATTTGAGAGGTGAGGTGGGTCTGTGCATGTACCACACATGTGTATAAGCAGGTTTGCATGTGTATGTGTGCTCCATTGGAAGCCAGAGATCAATGTCTGGTATCTTCTCTCTATTGCCTCCCTCCCCCCAATCTTAGTTTCTGAGACAGATCTCTAGCTAAGATCTAGACTGGCTGGCCAGTGAACTTCCAAGATTTTTTGTCTTTGTTTCCCAGTGCCAGGATTAGCAGACAGACACACACCATGCATACAACTTGGCTCGCATAGCAAGCAAGCTCACTTTACTCACTGAACCATATCCCCAGCCCTCCACCTAAATGTACAGATGGGGTTTCATGTATTTTTCTGTAATTTTTGGTCTGACCTTCCTTGGTTCTCCTCTTCCAGCTCCCAAGTGCTGGGATTACAGGATGTGTCCACCAGGTTTTATTTGTATTTTTGTTTTATTTTATTTATTGATTGATTGATTACAAACCTGTAAAGATGTATTGAAATGTTAGGTTGAGTCTAGAGAAATGCAAACCTAATTCAGTGTGTATTCTCTGTTTAGATTTCTTTTACCAGAAGACAATGTTTGCAGTGAGATATTGGTAAAATCTCAATTTGTTGCTTGCATGGCTACTTGTCATTCACTTACAAAAATTGAAGGTGTTCTTTCTGGTGACCCACTTGATTTGAAAATGTTTGAAGCCATTGGATGGGTAAGTTTAACCTTTTTGTTTTTGAAACAGGGTTCACCCTCCCTCCCCCATTTTGTAGCATAGGCCCATTTTAAACATAGCTGTATAACTGAGGATATTCTCCTGCCTTTAACTCGTGAGTACCGGCATGAGCTCTTAACTTTCTGTTTTTATGGTGCCTTACACTCTGTTTATATGGTGCTAGTCTGTATCTTGACCAGTAGCTTCTCCCAGCCTCTCCTCCAAGACTTCAGCTACTCACAGTGCCAAGCCTCAGCTGCTCTTCCTGACCCTTTTCATGCCTTCAAAACAAGCTTATGTGATTCTAATACATTATCAGTTTGGGGTGTCTGCATGAGATGCAGCCTTGTCTACCCTGGAATAGATTGTGTGCTGACGCTGAGGAAATAGTTCCAGAAGATTTCACCTCAGTGATTCTGGCCTCTTTTTTAATCACTGCTAATTCCTTAGCCCCAGCTGACTAGCATCAATTGTGCCAACAAAGGTTTTACTTTAGTGGATCTGGTCTTTTTGTTTTATTTTGGTTTTTCGAGACAAGATTTCTCTGGCTGTTCTGAAACTCTACCCTCAAATTTACAGGGATCTGCCTGTCTCTGCCTCCTAAGTGGGATTAAAAGTGTGCACCACCGCTACCCAGTGGTTCTGATCTTTTGTTAATCACAGCCAATTCTTCAACTCCAGTTAACCAGAACCACAGATTCCTAATTTCAATATATTACATAAATGGCCCTGATAGAGTCGTTTCTTCCCTCTGAATTTCACAAACGAGACTGCCACCACCCACTGAGCTTTGAGCATACAGTGCCTTTTCTAACCCAAAGCTCCTTCCACAATCCTCTCTAAAACATGGTCAGGTCTGCCACAGCAATACCCCATAACCTGGTGCTAATTTTTGGTTAGGGTTTTTATGGCTGTGGTAAAAAACCATGACCAAAGGCAGCTAGGGAGGATAGGGTTTATTTGGGTTTATAGTTCCACATGGCATTCATCATTTAAAGTAGTTGATGTAGGAAATCAAAATTAGAACGTCTTTGAGACTGGAACTGAGACAGAGGCCATGGAAGAGTGTTGCTTTTACCAGCTTGCTTCCCAAGGCTTGCTCAGCCTGTTTGTATGTTTTGGTTTTGGTTTTTGAAACAGGGTCTCTCCACATAGCCCTAGCTGTTCTTGAACGCATTATGTAGACTATGCTGACCTTGAACTCACAGAGATCCACCACTTCTGCCTCATGGGCCCTGGGACTAAGTGTGCCCGCCACCTTACCTGGCTTCAGTTTGCTTTCTCATACCACCCGGGACCACCTGCCTAGGAGTAGCACCATCTCTAGGGCTAGGTTCTCCTACATCAGTCATTACTCAAGAAAATGCCCCACAGGCTGGTCTGGTAGGAGCATTTTTTTTTTTTTTAAGGTTTATTTATTTATTATGTACACATTGTTCAGCCTCCACACATGCCTGCAGGCCAGAAGAGGGCACCAGCTCTGATTACTGATGGTTGTGAGCCACCATGTTTTTGCTGGGAATTGACCTCTGGAATAGAGCCATCCCTCCAGCCCCCGTAGGATCATTTTTTAAATTATGGTTTCTTCTTAAACTTGCCTTAAAACTGATCATAGGACAATAAGATGCATCCAGTTTCTGAGATGGTCAGATAAGCTCTGGCTTTTCTTGCATAATATTAGATTCAATTTCCAGCATCATATGGCAGTTTAGAGCTTTCTGTAAGTCCAGACCCTCTCGTGTACACACAAGGTGTACAGATAAAATGTTCGGGTAAAAAGACCCATACCCATGCACATAAAATATTTTTTTTAAAGGTGAAAATCAAGAGGTTACGACTATAGTAGCTAAGCTGTTTATGATTTCATGGTATGACTGTAAAATCAGATGCTATCTTGTACAGCTTATTTTAATTTAGTGATTCCATTAACTATATCTGAACTCTGTCTAGGCTTGAGAAAAGCTCTCATGTAGTCCAGTTGACCTTAAGCTGACTGTGTAGCCTAGGCTAGCATGAAACTCCTGATTCCTTTGCTTTTGTATTTCTTTTGTTTGTTTTTGAGACAGAATTTCTCTGAGCAACAGTCCTGGCTGTCCTGAAATTCTACTTTGTAGACCAGGCTGGCCTCAAACCCACTACTGAGATCCTCCCGCCTCTGCCTCCCAAGGTGTATGCTACCACCGCCTGGCCTTGCTCTTGTATTCTTGAGTACTAGGATTACAAGTGTATACCTGCGGAATACATACACACTTGTATCATTTGTTGGCAGAACGGAAATCCCTGTATTATAGGGTAAAAATCTTTAAAAAAACCATGTGCTTCCAGCTCATTCTGAAGACAACATATTTGCTCCTTTATTCTACTTCTAAGTTACTTCTCCCTTCACCCAAAGGTTGCAAGGTGTCTAAGTAGTTCTTTTTACATTTTATTTTATTTATGTTAATAAAAATGAATATATTTAAGTAAAATATATTTATGTTAATAGTTTAGTGTTCATATGTCCTTTGGCAGCAATTGCTTCACCCACCCCCCCAGTGGACCACTTAAAAATGAAACGAATACGGAATTTTGTGGTATGTTGTATGTTTTACTTTTAGATTTTGGAAGAAGCAACCGAGGAAGAAACAGCACTTCATAACCGAATAATGCCCACTGTAGTTCGTCCTTCCAAACAGCTGTTTCCTGAATCTACAGCTGTAGGAAACCAAGAAATGGTATGATGTCACTTGGAATTCTAGTTTAGAAATACCTCTATCAGAGAGGTGTTGGGCATGTGATCCCATGCAGATACAGATGTTCTAACTGAGCTTATCAGAATGGCTACCCTGGTGGGATACAGGCACTCTCTAGAAATGTTGAGATTTAATTCTCAGTGCCTGTGTGTCCTTTGCCACTTACACATGTGATAGTTAATCTTTTTAGTTTGCATTTGTATCTCTAGAATTGTATTCAAAGAATTTATAAAAAAGCACTCACACTAGTTTTACTCTTAGATGAATTTTTCAGTGTCTCTCGTTTTATCATTTAATAAAAGATAGAATCATATTTTTATGATTCTAGAATATTTGGAAATGTTGAACACTATTTCCCCCCTTAATCTGTCACTTCTTGTGCTAGGAATTGAAGCCTGAGCTATAGGCATTCTACCTGGGTGGTCATACCATGAAACTACACCCTGATAGCATTTTTTTTTTTAATAGGAGATGTTGTGTTGGGACTCTTAGGTTCTGACTTACATACTCAAAAAGTTGCTTGTTATTTTGTGAATGTTTTAGTTTTTTGTAGCTGGTGTATATTAATCTGTACCTTATTTTCTTGGTTTTAGGAGCTGTTTGAACTTCCAGTAAGTGAAGAATGTTTTCTTCTTAGATTAAGTACATTTGTTTTTATTCTTAAAGAATAAATCCTTTGTGCATTTTTTAAATTAAATAGGCTGTTTATGAGATAGGAATTGTTCGACAGTTCCCATTTTCTTCTGCTTTACAACGGATGAGTGTGGTTGCAAGAATACTAGGTGACAAGAAAATGGATGCCTACATGAAAGGAGCCCCTGAGGTTATTGCCAGTCTTTGTAAACCTGAAACAGGTAAGGAAGTAACTAGGTTCTGGGTAAAACTCAGCTATTTATATAAACTTACAGTAACAATTCTAAAATCAAATTTCGTCTTATTTTTTAAAGTTCCAGTTGATTTTGAGAAAGTTTTAGAAGATTATACCAAACAAGGCTTCCGTGTGATTGCTCTTGCACACAGAAAGTTGGAGTCAAAACTGACGTGGCACAAAGTACAACATATTAGCAGGTATGAGTGACTGGCATTCCTACAGTTCCCATAATGTATCCCTTAGATTCCTATAAGTCATGTACAGTAAAGGTTGAATATGTGAAATGTGTATATTGTAGCTTTGTTTTTGGTGTTTGAGGTAAAACTATAATTATTCTTTTTTATTCTGTATTGCCGTTTTTGTTTTGTTTTCAAGACAGTTTCTCTGTGTAGTCCTGACTATTCTGAAATTCACTGTGTAGATTAGACTTGCTTAGAAATCAAAGATCTGCCTTCCTCTTCCTCCCAGTGTTGGGATTAAATTGTGTGTCACCATGCCCCACTCATCAATTTTTTTTTTGCCTGTGTTTATGTTCTTAAAATAATTGTTTTCTTTTCTTTAGAAGTCTGGAAATACTTGTAGTTTGTGAAATTGTTATCAGATTCTGTTTTATTTTGATTTTTAAGGTACTTGTATGTCTGTGTGTGGATTTGTGCATGTGATTGCAGTGCCCGTGGATACCAAGAGTGAGTGGTCCCCTTGAGTTAGAGTTACAGGAAGTTGTGAGCTACCTGATATAGTTGCAGGGGACTGAATTTGGGTCCCCGTCAAAAGTGGTATTATGTGCTCTTAGCCACTGAGCCGTCCTCCATCCTGTTAGCAAATTTTTACTGTTTTAGGAGCAGTAAATGATTCTACTGTTCATTTTTTGCGACGCGCATCCTGACCAGCAGGAATGAACGCCACTAAAAACGAGAATTCCTTCCCTGGTCACGTCTTTATTCGGAGCATTTGATTGAGGAAAATTGGGGGAAGGGAAGATAGAGCAGGGACGAGAGAAAGCTTAGAGAGAGAAAGTTGAGCCCAGAGGCAGCTGCTTTTAAACGGTGGAGAGGCTTGAACGCTGTCCTGATTGGTTAATGCCATTCTGCTGGTCTGAGCATGTGCAAGCAAGGGTGCAGGCAAGGGTGCTCAGCCCCACGTGGCTAAGCCAGGTATGGACTTGTATACCTCCAAACTGCAGGACCACCTGTGCCTCCAGGTGGCTTCCTACAATTTTTCCTAAAATCACCCAATGGGAATAAAACACAAATCATGAGTTATAATACCTGATATTCTCTCTCCCATTTTTCTCTATCTTATCGAAGGACATTACCGACATCTTTTACTCTCCTATATAGATAAGGCTTTATATTTGACTTAGCTTTTCCTGTGACTATGATAAAGTCCTAGCTAAAGCAGTTTAAGGAAGAAAGGGTTTCTTTTAGCTCACAGTTCAAGGTACAGTCATCATGGTGGGGTAGGGCATTTGAGGCGACAGGAGCTTGAAGCATCCAGTCTCATCACAGTTAGGAAACGGAAGTCTGAATTTGTGCTTCTGCTCGTCTCTTTTTCCATTTCTGCAGGCCAGGAGCACAGCCAGAGAGTGGTGCCACCTTAGTGGGTGGGTTTTCCCACCTCAGCATAATCAGCAAGATTATCCCTGACAGGATTACTCAGAGTCCTGTCTCCAGTTGATCCTAGATTGTCAGGTTTACAGCTGTTAGCATTACACCCTTCTGTTTCTGTTGAATAGCTGATGATGTACTTAGCCTTTAAGGGCATTGTAATATTTCAGGATGTGTTTAGTATTTTGTAAGCAAAAGGAATTTAGTTTGTTCTGATACTTCTGCCTGTTTTGGAGAGGTGATCTGAACATTAAAAAAATACAAACAAAAATAGAGCAAGGAGGCTGGAGACATAGCTCAGAAGTTAAGAGCTCTGGCTACTTCTTCAGAGGACCTAGGTTTGGTTTCTAATTCCAATATAGTGCCTCACGACCACCCATAACCCCAGAACCAGGGGATCCAACATCTTCATCTGACTTCCCTGGGCACTAGGTACACCACAATCATACATGCAGGCAAAACACATACATACAAAAACAAAATACTAGTGAACTGATAACATAAGTCACTCTGAAAACCACAGGTATGTCCTAATTCTCAAAAAAGGACACATTGGTCTTTTTGTCACCTTTTGCCATTGTCACCCTTAAAGACTAGTTGTTCAGTCACGTATAGTTCTTAAGTCTGTCATTCACAGAACTTTCTGTTCCCTTGAATAGATGTTTAAGTTTTTGGAAATAGTGAACTGGTACTTGTACCTGTGGTTCATTCATTATGTGAGGGTTTTAGCTTAAAGATATTTTAGATTTAGGTATTTTAGATTTCTCTGTCAATCTTTTGTCCAAACTAAACTATTATATATTAATTCTTTTCAGAGATGCCATTGAAAACAACATGGATTTCATGGGATTGATTATAATGCAGAACAAATTAAAACAGGAAACCCCTGCAGTACTTGAAGATTTGCATAAAGCCAACATTCGAACTGTCATGGTCACAGGTGAGTGTGACTCTGAAGCTCAAGTTGTGTGAGATTGATGGATGGTCAGGTATCCATTTAGTTTCTATTTAGTGGCTCTACCATGTATTGTCCTATTTCATCTCTAAATAATTTTCCAAGATAATAAGATACCCATAATCCTCACTTAGATTTCTAATGAAATCTGTTTATAGAAAATGTAGCACATATTGAAGGAGAAACTGAAACTTCTGTTTTTTGTTCTGTCTCCTGTACCTGTGTTGTACAATGACTTGTGAATTATCCGTAAATGTTTCTTGTGACATAATATAAAATTCTTGAGGGATAAGTGCATGCCTTGTCTATTTTGGGGATTATTAATAATTTTTAGTGTTGGCATATACATAGAAAATGTTTACCAGGTGTTTGTTAGAATTGGGTTAGAATTTTAAAATTATAATTCTTTTCTCTATTATGTGTATGTATGTGTGGAAGTCAAGAGAATAGCTTCCAGGAATCAGCCTCTCTTCCATCTGAGTGCTGGGACTCACACTCCGTTATCAGGCTTGGCAACAGAGTTCCCTTTCCAGCGGAGCTGTTGTGGGGGACCTTCTGCCAGCCATAGGCACTATAGTAGATGCCTAGTACTCATTCTATACGTTATGTTTCCTTTTTTTTTTTTTTGTTTTTTTTTTTGTTTGTTTTTTTGGTTTTTTTTTTTTTGAGACAGGGTTTCTCTGTAGCTTTTGGAGCCTGTCCTGGTACTAGCTCTTGTGGACCAGGCTGACCTTGAACTCAATGAGATCCACCTGCCTCTGCCTCCTCCCGGCTTATGTTTCCTTTTCAACCTTAATGTGTTTAAAATACTTTGGAAAATTAGGTGACAACATGTTGACGGCTGTCTCTGTGGCCAGAGACTGTGGAATGATTCTACCTCAGGATAAAGTTATTATTGCTGAAGCATTACCTCCAAAGGATGGGAAAGTTGCCAAGATCAATTGGCATTATGCAGATTCCCTGACACAGTGTAATGAATCATCAGCAATTGACTCAGAGGTAATATTTATATTATCTTTTTAAGTTTGTTTATTTGAATTTAGTTTGGGGCAAAACAAGCAGTGTTACAGAAAAACCCAGTATTAACAAAACTAAATGAAAATAGAGGTGAGGGCTATGACTCCAGAGATTCTGATTCATTAGCCTAAGAATCTGAATGTTTAAATTTTGGTATTTAGTCAAAATTGAAAACCGTAGTTTCAAAGTGTAAGATTCCCAAATACCCAGTTTTAACCATAATCAGCAGTAAATGATCCAGGCAGTTCATAAAAATGCAGTTCTCGGGTGCTGACACACGGCCTTTAATCCCAGCAAGACTGGCACAAAGCTTTAATCCCAGCACTTGAGAGACAGAGGAAGGTGATATCTCAGTTCCAGATCAGCCTTGTCTACACAGAGAGTTCCAGTACAGCCAGAGCTACACAGAGAAGCCCTGTCTGGAAAAAGGAAAACCAAGCAAACAAAACAGAAAAATCATTTCTCAGATCACTTCAAGTCAAAGCTGATCCTCTTTATTGCTAGGATTAAT